TATGTTATTTCAGATTTTCTTTCTTCCTTGTATTATTATTAGAGCCTTCTAATGGGCTTTCAGACCTTTGTAGTTTATGTTCAATCTAGCCTTTCACTACTACCAGAATGATCTTGAAATAGTTCTGACTTGGACAATTCACCCCATAAACTTTTATGTTTTTATTTTTTAAAGATTTTATTTATGAGCCAGAGAGAGAGAGAGAGCACAAGCAGGGGGAGCGGCAGGCAGAGGGAGAAGCAGGCTCCCTGCTGAGCAAGGAGCCTGATGCGGAACTCGATCCCAGGACCCTGGGATTATCACCTGAGCTGAAGGCAGACGCTCAACTGACTGAGCCACCCAGGCGTCCCCCCATAAATTTAAATGGCCCTCATTCACCTTCAGGATAAAATTTAAAATCATTATTAAAATCTCACCCCTGCCTTCTTCCACTGTTCCCTCACCCCCTCATTTGTCTGTCTGCCAACCATAGTATTTGCAGTTCCCTAAGACATCTGTTCACCTCCTCTTCTTAGCCTCTGTCTATGCTATACCTTCTGCCTGGATTTTGTTGATCTCTTTACCCAATTTTTTCTTCCATAATAAATGTTAACATTTATAGGGACGCCTGAGTGGCTCAGTAGGTTAAGTGGTGGACTCTTGATTTCGGCTCAGGTGGTGGTCTCCATGTGGAGTCTTGCTTGTCCCTCTCCCTGCCCCCGAACATGTGTGCACTCTTTCTCTCTCTCTCTCTCTCTCAAATAAAATCTTTAAAAAGTTAACGTTTATTGAATTATGTCATTTAATCTTCACAGCCATCCAATGATGATAGATACTATTACCCATTTTACAGATAAACTGAAGTATAGATTATGAAACTTGCCTTCAGTCATAATCACTATTAAGTGACAGATTCAGGATCTGTCTGACTTCAAGTTATTTAACTACAGTTTTTTCTTTTCACTACACCTAGCCATCTGTTTTAAAGTTCCTGCAGTTGATCATGCTTGATTCTAAATCTAGGTTATTAGTCATGTTCTTGCTTTAAGTCTAGAATGTCTTTTAATCTCTACTCCATTTATGCTGTTGGACCCTGCTAAAACTCACTACTTCATTTATTCTAATTCTACAAGACTCTGCTGAAATTTAGTCTTTTCAAAACTTTCCTAATGACTGCTATCTTCCTTGAATTTCCCATGAGCAACTTTTGCTAAACCAGTTACCTAAGACTCATTTGTATCCATCCACATCATAACTTACTATTATGTGTTATTACCTTCCTAATTAGATTATATGCTCCAGAAGGTTTGGAATTTTAAAAGTTTTTCCCTGAACATATTGCAAAGTGTTAGAATCATATTAGGTAGCCAATAAATTATTGTTCAACAAGGCGTGAACTCAATAATATATTTTATATATTATTTTTCATACACAAGGATTTTAGAGCTAGAGATAATTAATCCAAAGCCAGTCCTCAACTTAAATGATGAAAAGACTGAGGCTTGCAATTAGATAAAATTATTTAATAATGAATACAGCAATTAAGAGATAACCAAGTGTTTCTTGATTCCTAACTGTAATAAAGAAAATAAGGAATTATTTTGAAGTGCTATCTTTTCTGTAGCTAGCAGTTTTTGTTTTTTTTTTTAAAGATTTTATTTATTTATTTGAGACAGAGAATGAGAGGGAGGAGGGTCAGAGGGAGAAGCAGACTCCCTGCCGAGCAGGGAGCCCGATGCGGGACTCGATCCCGGGACTCCAGGATCATGACCTGAGCCGAAGGCAGTCGCTTAACCAACTGAGCCACCCAGGCGCCCAGCTAGCAGTTTTTGTACATTAAACTTCACATGAAGCTATTCTACTATATTGTTTTTATAAAACTGGAAGTGGATTGGGGCGCCTGGTTGGCTCAGTCGTTAAGCGTCTGCCTTCGGCTCAGGTTGTGATCCCAGGGTCCTGGGATCGAGCCTCCCATCGGCTCCCTGCTCCGCAGGAAGCCTGCTTCTCCCTCTCCCACTCCCCCGCTTGTGTTCCCTCTCTCACTGTCTCTCTGTCAAAAAATAAATAAAATCTTAAAAAAAAAAACTGGAAGTGGATTAAGCATGGTTTCAGAATTAAAATCCACATCCCAATCACACAAATCTCTATTCTGGCTTTCCTCTTTTTATTTATAGATGCTATAGGCAGGATCAAAGTAAGGATTGTAATCTTGTTTGTTTTTTTAAAGGGAAAGATTGAATAACTGTGATTTGGTAACTTTGCATCAGTAATTGTGATTATTTTTGCTAAGTATTTTCACACATGTTACTGACAAGGCTTAAATTAACCATTACCTACCTCTCATTTTCCATATACCTAAATAGTGTACTGCCAGTCCTGTTACAATGTTCAAAAACCCTCTGGATATACTTTCTAATCATGTCTAGTAATCTAATAATAATTTTCCAGTATTACAAACGAACCTCAAACTGATGTTTTGGAGAGGAAACTTTTGAAAATAACTATTCTGCTACAGAGGATAAATTTACAAATCTAGAAACAAATTTCAGGTGTGCTTGAGAAGATCTAATAAAGTTTGATAGGCACCCAGGCAAATTTCAGGTATATTTTTCTGTCAGGATAATCACAATTTACAGAATAAGAGCAAGGAGATGATGAGTGAGGAATCCTGGGACTGAAAAATGTTTGAAAGTAGTACAATGAATATCCAAGATTTTTTGAGTGTTTATTCTCAGTAAGTTATTTCATGCGACATACTATTCATTTAACCAATAATTACTGAGCATTTTCTATGTGCCAGTTACTATTCCAGATGCTGCAAGTACAGCAGTGAAGAAAACAGTTGTAAAAACAGTCATTATCTAACTTAAATCTTTAAAAGGATCATCCCTCTGTGGAAAATAGACTTGAGTGTAAAAGTACAAGTAGGGAAGCCAGTTAAAAAGGCTTTTGCAGTCATGCAAGATGGTGGGTTGGCCTGGAGTGGTGGGTAGCAGTCATGAGAAGCGGTCAGAGTCAGATTTTATTTTGAAGGTGTATGTATTCAACAGACTTTTCTAATGGGTTAGTTTATAGAGTATGATGGAAAACAGAGTTTGGGCTTGAAGAAGATTGCAGAGGAGAAGCCTTGGAAATAAAGGGAGAGTAGAATTCAGTTTGGGTCATAAGTTTGAGATGTCCATTAGACATCTAAGTGGAGATGTCGGGTTAAAGGAAAAGGTCAGGCTGGAGAGTTGTCAGCACACAAATGGTATTTCATGGCATTGGATGAAATCACAAAAGGGTTGAATGTTAAAAAAAAAAAAGGCGGTACTCTAATTTAGAGATTGAGAGGATGAGGTTTCAGGAAACTAAAAACATTGCTGAAATGGAGAACCATCAAAAGAGTAGTGTACAGAGGAAGCTCCTTAAGACTGTGTTTGAAACTATACATATATATGTTATACTGAATGGCATTTATGGCTTATTTCCAAATTAAAACAAAGTATATTGTGAAGGAGTGATCAATTATGTTAAATGTTGCTGATAGATGGAAAAGATGAAAATTGAGATTGACAGTTTATTTAACAATGTAAAGGCCATTGGGGATCCTAGGAAAAGCACCAAAAGCCTGCCCAAAATGGGATTTTAAAAAAGATTAGGAGAGTAAGAGAAGACAAGTATAAAGAGATCTGTGTTTTATTTTGAAGAGAAATGGGATGGTAACTTAAATGTTTGTTTAATATGGGAATATGTTTATGCTGATGGAATGATCAAGTAAAAAGGGGGAAATTGTAATAAGTGACTGCAAATAGGGATCTGCACCTATTTTAGGATCTAATTTATGTGAATCTTTGGTTCTTGTTGGACAGAGCCATAAGTGTCCTTCATCCAATATGTAGATCTATTACCCAATATATCATTAATTCATCTGCTGGCTAACCTTTAGCCCTTTAAGCAGTACTAGGAAATTGGTAAAAAAGTAATCTCTGTTCTTGAGAAGTTTACAATCTAGATGGAGAAAATGGTAAGACAGCACATAAAACTTTAACAAGTTCAAATTCTAGAAATCTACTTTTTAAAAATTTGTATGCTCCAGCTATTAGCACTTGGTAACTGTCCTCAAGGATTTGATCACAGTGCATAATACAGAGGGGAGATTAAGCCAGATCCTTTCAGTCCTTATCTAGGGAAGAGAGAGATGAATTGGCTATTTAAAAACCTTGGTGAGGAAGAGAATCTGAACTGGGGACAGATAACTTGGTGGATCTAACCCAAAAGATGAGAAGGAATAATTTTGATATTACTAATTTTTATCCACACATTTCACCTATGCTGAACCCATATATCATCCACTGTCTATTTGAAATCACAATGGAATAACCAGAAGAGTTTGTAAAAAGGTGGAAAGATTTTAGTACAGGGTAAATATGTTTATATTTATACACACTTGGTGGGCACAGAGAATAAAGATATTTGTAATGTGACATTATTTAGGCAAAACTGATACAAGATACACAGCCTATCTACAGTAATTGCTCTGCCTACCCACTCCAATCAAGGAAAGTACCCCGCTCGACCTGAGACAGTAAGAATTAAGAGCCCAGATTTGCTGTCCCATTTCTTGCCCCACAATTAAATTTTCCCCCCTCTTTTCAGCATTTTCCCAGACACGGAGAAACGAGCGAACAGCTTCCACAATTTCGGGACACTGGTAGTTTCTTGCGTGGGGAGTCCTGCAGCGTCCAAAGGTACAAGAAGGTAAAAACTGGTATCCCGACGCAGCTCCTTGCACCATAGTCTCAGCACAAGGAACAGTAACGCCCTCACAAAGTTTCTTCAGCGGAAAAAACGGATTGTATCCGTGTAAGAGGAGTTATCCTTTTTGTTTTGTATTTCATGCAGCTGCACAACAGGCCAACCCAGTGTTCTTTCAACGTCTATACAATGGCTCAAAGTTTGCTAAGTTTTAAAAAACGCCTTCTCGTTCCAAATACACTAATTTTCTACGATAGCGTGGTCTCACATTAATTTTATGTAAGCTAGTTAAAAAGTACATGACACGTTACTCTTCGCCTCTCTGGTCTCAAAAGTCCTTTGCTTCTTCCAGCCTTAGCTCCAGCGACCAGCCGCCTGAAAGGCATCGGCCAGGTTGGGAACGAACTGAAGAGACAGAAACGGCCAGTCGGCTAGAGCGGCCACTGCCATACTGCCGCTCTCGCCTTTCTTTCGCTCTCTATGGTCAGAGAAGCTCAAGCCCCTCCTCCGCCCGGAAATATTTATGTTGTCTGACGCTTGCGCAAGGCCAGAAGGTAGTTCCGGTTCCGGTGTGGGGACTTTCGTTCCTGGTGGTCGGTTGTCGGGGTTGGTGGTTAGTAACTGAGCCAAGATGCGGAATCTGCTGGTGAGGAGCTTCTCGGCTTGTATTCTTAATGTGGGGCGGGAAGGTTGGGAATGGAGGCTAAGGGACCTTGACTGAGAAACCTCTCCTGGGAGGGAAGAAGGGTGGGAAAAGGCGACTTCGGAAGTCACCTTGGTCCGTGTCCTTTTCGCCTGCCATTACTTCCCTTCCATCTGTTCCTCTCGCCTCCTGTGTTGGGTAGATGAAGGGAGTGGAAAAGCTGGGAGGGTGACCAGAGGTGAGTTAGGCAGCCTTGGGTTCTTAGTGGCCATCCCTAAACCTATAGGTCAGTCATAAAGTCGGTAGCTCCGATATGAGTAAAACTAAAGTCCAACTGGGAAGTTTCTGATACCCGGAAGCTTCAGACAGAAAGATGTTCCAGTGGTATTTTGAAAGGCTTTAAGTTTCAACGTTTCTGAGCTTTGTGAGCATCAGAATGCGGTTTAAAAAGCAAGTCATTCACTTTTGGTTGGGACTTTGGGAGCAGTCATGGCAGAAGTGTGGTGTTGCTTCCATCAGGCGGTTCTTCAGTGTCAGTGTCCTTCACTCCTCCACCTGCTTTGAGCATGTGAAATATTTTCCCAAAACTTCGAAAAAGTGAAGGAAAATGTAACCGTGACCGTTCTCTTGTAATTATTCAGTAAGGTTTTACTTAGCCTCTCAGTGTATCATTTATTTTGGAATATAGAGTGCATATTTGTTTCATTATTTAATTCAATTGGATATATAATGCAAGTTTCTTTTTTAAAAGAATTATACCCTGTTAAAGATTTTTTTAGGAAAAATGTAATGAGGAAAGCATTTTAATTAAGTAGGAATCGTGCTATTTTATTTTGGTATCAAGTAATAGATTTTTTTTTTTTAAAGATTTTTATTTATTTATTTGAGAGAGAGAGAATGAGAGAGAGAGAACACATGAGAGGGGATAGGGTCAGAGGACGAAGCAGACTCCCTGCCGAGCAGGGAGCCTGATGCGGGACTCGATCCAGGGACTCCAGGATCATGACCTGAGCCGAAGGCAGTCGCTTAACCAACTGAGCCACCCAGGCGCCCCTCAAGTAATAGATTTTTAATAATATGGTAGAGTATTAAATGAAAGTACTTGAACTTAGTGTTATTTTGTAATCACTCTTTATTTTTGTAATATCTGTATGTCAATGTTTTACTTAAGGATATATGATGCTACTACTAGTTCAATCAGGTAAAGATGTTTTTTTTTTCTTTTGCTCAGAATTGCTACTTGAATGTGGTTTTTGGAGACTGCAGAATTTTAATATAAAGAGTAGTGGATGGACAACCAATTGGAAAACCTGGCTGCTGGTTTAGGATTCTTACTGACAAATCGGATATGTTTTAACTGTCAATTTCCCTCTTCTGTAATATTAAAGATTGAAAATGGTTGGTTTTGAAGGTTTCTTTAAGACCTAAATCTGCCTAACATCTATGGATTTTTCATTTCAGGCTCTTCGTCAGATTGCCCAGAGGACCCTAAGTACTGCTTCACGCAGGCAGTTTGAAAATAAAGTTCCAGAGAAACAAAAGCTATTTCAGGTACTGGAATATTTTATAGACAGTTATTACTTGTAATAGTAAAATTACCAAAAGGTGGAGATAGGAAGTAAATTTGGTGATGTTTGATTGTTACTGATCCTGCTATATTAGCAAACGAATAATAAGAAACTGTTGATAGCTAATTGGGCATTTGTTATATACAAGAGGCCCTTGGGGAAGCAGAAGAAATGAGAGGGAAAGGGTATTGGTCAAAGACACTTTGGAGAAGTTACATTAGGTTGGCACTCTTTGGGGGAGTTGCACGAGAATAGACAAACAGACCATAGAAAGGACGCAGAAACAGAACAAATATATATGTAGAAATTTAATGTATGTTAAAGGTGCAATTTCATATCAGAGAGGAAAGGATACAATAAGTTGGAAAAATTGGCTATTTTAAAGAAAGTAAAGTTTGATCCCTTCTGTATTATATATTAAAAGATAAATTGCAGGGGTGCCTGGGTGGCTCAGTTGGTTAGGCATCTGCCTTCAGCCGGTTATGATCCCAGGGTTCTGGGATCGAGCCCCGTGTTGGGCTCCCTGCTCAGTAGGGAGCCTGTTTCTCCCTCTCCCTGTCCATCCCCCATCCCCCCTGCCACTTGTGCGCGTGCACGCGCGCTCTCTCTCTCTCTCTCTCTCAAATAAAACCTTAACAAAGATAAATTGCAGATATAAATGCTTCTCCTGCAAAACATTAGAAGAAGATATATTTTTTCCAGTTTTATTGACATATGATTGACAAAAATTTTATAGAGGGAGCACACTCTCTCCCTTTCTAAAATAAATAAATCTTTTTAAAAAATATTTTCTGCAGAAATAGTAGCATAACAATATTTAAAAAAAGGAAAGAGGTTATTCATTATAGGATTTTAATACCAAAAAAACCCTAACAACCTAAATACCCATTAATAGGAGACTAGCTAATTCAATTATGATATTTTTGCACAATGGAATGCTATGTGGTCATTAAAAGGAATAAGGTGGGCTTAAAGGGACTAACAGAATGGCTTTTAAGATAGCAGTAAGTAGGGACATCTGGGTGGCTCAATCGGTTAAGCGTCTGCTTTCGGCTGTGGTCATGATCTCAGGGTCCTGGGAAGGGCTCCCTGCTCAGAGGGGAGTTGGCTTCTCCCTCTGCTCCTCCCCCTGCTCGTCCTCCCTCCCTCCCTCTCTCCCTCCCTCCCAAATAAATTCAAATAAAGAAATAAATAAAATATTTAGAAAAATAGCATTAAGGGAAAAATAGTATATGGCAGACCCTTACAGCATAATCTCATTTTGTATATTAAACAAGTGTGTGTGTAAATTAGAAGGTAAGGTAATGTAGGCATTAAAAATATTTACATATATTGGGGCGCCTGGGTGGCCCAGTCAGTTGAGCGTCTGACTCTTGGTTTTGGCTCAGTTCATGATCTCAGAGTCCAGAGATCACTCGGGCTCTACGCTGAGCAGGGAGTCAGCTTTGGATTCTCTCCCTCTTCCCATGGGTGTATGGGTGTGTGTGTGTGTGAGTGAGAGAGAGAGATAAATCTTTAAAAAAATATATTTATGGATATATATAAATATATTTATGGATATGGATATGTACCATATATATATTATGGTTATGTTGTGGTGGTTTTCACATGAGGAAAGATGACGGGATAGAGTCGTTAACCTTTATAAGTAGTTAAATTATTAGTGATTTTTTTGGTTTGTTTTCCTGGGTGATCTCTGGTTTTTCCCAAATAAAATTTTAAGTGATTAAAAAGCCTTGTATTCTACATCCTATAGGTCATACGGATCTTCCTTGACTTATGATGGGGTTATGTCATTATGTCATATACAATAACCCATCATAAGTTGAAAACATTTTAAATTGAAGATTCATTTAATATAGTTAACCTACTAAATATAGCTTAGCCTACCTTAAACAAGCTCAGAACACATACATTAGCTTACAGATGGGCAAAGTCATCTAACACAAAGCCTATTTTATAATAAAATGTTGAATATCTTATGTAATTTCTTGAATACTGTACTGAAAGTGAAAAAGAGAATGGTTTTATGGATACAGAATAGTTGTAAGTTTATTGGTTGTTTAACTTCATGATTGTGTGGCTGATTGGGAGTTGTTGCTGGCTGCCACTGCCCTGCATCATCAGAGAGTATCGTACTGCATATCACTAGCCTGGGAAAAGGTAAAAATTCAGAATTTAAAGTACAGTTTCTACTGAATGTGTATTACTTTCACACCATTGTAAAGTTGAGAAATCATAAGTTGAACCATTGTTAAGTCAGGGGCCATTTGTATGCTACGTAAAAATAAAATACTTATATTTAACAGATGTATTAAATACTGTATGCCAGGTGCTGGACTAGGGTTAAAGATATAATTTAAGGTTATAAACAAACCCCTTCCCCCCCTTTTTTTAAGGAAAAAATAAATCTTACGATTAAATCTAAAGTGTGATGAGTACTGATCTTTATAATAATTCAGTTGATGAACTTAATCAGTATATTTTCACAACTTTAACCTTTATATATTCCTTGGAAAGAACATCTTTATTGGATCTCACTAAATTTAAGAGAAAGAATATTGACTTTTAGGAGTTCTTATTTTAATTTAGTGGAAGTAGAGACAGAATCAGGAAAATTGTAGTCTTTTAATTTTGATGCTTACAATATTTTAATTCCAGGGGTTTAAGGAGGCACTTAATTTTATATAAATGGATTAGTCTTTTGAACTTAGTTGAAAACAAATCACAGATGTATTAATTATTATTGTTTTTTGATCTAGGAGGATAATGGAATTCCAGTGCATCTAAAGGGTGGAGTAGCTGATGCCCTCCTGTATAGAGCCACTATGATGCTTACAGTTGGTGGTAAGATATTTGGAGTGCTTGACTTATAGATAAGTAACAGTAAGGATAACTAACAACTTCATTGCTTTTACTGTGCCAGTATTTTAACATAGGAAGTCTGTCTCCAGAATCTGAGATCTTAATGCTTTGCATGTAAGGATTCAACAGGATAATTGATACATATTATATAAGAGCATTTTAATGTCTTTAAAAAAAAATAAACCAATAATGTTTGATGAGTATTTATTATAGAGGTAGCTTTCAGAGTGTGCAGGCCATCTACTCTGCCCCATCTATTGTAACAGGGTTTTTTGAACATTTTTACTTTGATACATAATAAAAAAATATTTTACAACTACACTCAACATCCGTGTTTAGGACAGAAACAACCTGTATAGAACAACACTTATTACAGTACCCAAAGTGCTTTGAAATTTTTTTCTGTGGATTGGGCAGGTCCATTGTTCAGTATTAGCAGTGGAATATCACAAATTGGTATGGTTGGAGCAGAGTGAAGAATTTGAATGATTGCTTTCTGGAGGAGGAAGGGAAACAATATTTGAGTGATTACTGTGTGCTTGTCCTATTGATAAGAATGCCACATAAAGGGATTTTTGGACCCCCTTGTATTAAGTCTGTAATGTGTCCTTATTTTAAAGTTGAAGAAATTGTGTTAATTACTCAAGATAATATTGCCTCTGTGTGGAAAAGCTGAAATTTGAACCCTAATTACAAAGTCTTCTGCTCATGCCAAGGTGCCTTCTTTGGCTTGGATTAAATACAGTGAAGGGGCATTTTTGGATGAAGACAACAACTAGATAGTGGCATTTGGGCTCTCTTAAGATAAAGTCCTAAATTCTTTTTGATCAGTGTGACTATTTCATAGGTATTCTGGTAGTTAGTTTTATTTTTTTATTTTTATTTTATTTTTTCTATTATGTTGAGTTAGCCGGTACATGATATAGTACATCATAAGTTCTGGTAGGTCATTTTAATAATTTTTCACTTATTAGCTATTACCTTAAACTTGATAATTTAAGTGTATTACTCTTCCTTGGTTTTACATTGATAATATACTTTAGGGAGTGCTTGCATATCTTGACCTCTTTTTTGGTATTTGAATCATTCTTAGCATTTCTCAGGCAATCTTAGGTTAGTATGGAAATAGCCTTTATATATGTTCTTAATCTTACTTAAAAATTTTTTTACATGTTATTCAAGTTGACAAATACATTGTACTGTATCTAACACTTTCTATAGAAGTTAACTGATACTAAAACTAGATTAAATGTGTTTAACATATATTTATTTTAAATTTTGCCAGCACCTATCAAAATACTTTTTTATGTTCCCATAAAAGTAGCAATAATGCCAGACTTGCCTCTTTCTTTTTACAACCTTTTAGCTGGAATATTAGGTTTATGCATATAAAAATCAGAATTTCTTAGAAGTTCTTTTTTTGTTTCTTTTTATTTTTCAGGAACAGCATATGCCATATATCAACTAGCTATGGCTTCATTTCCCAAGAAGCAGGATTGACTTCAGTTTATCATCTCAGCAGGCAGTTGGTTCAGTTTCATTCAGCTCTCTATGGACCAGTAACTGATAAATAAATGAGTTCTTCTTTGGGGATCAATATTTATTGACTTATACTAACTGCCACCAATAAAGCAGACTTTACCATGCTTTGTCTTATTTTATCACTTTATACCAATAATTTCAATTTTTGATCAGCCTTGTAAATCTTAGGGAGCAAAAAAAAAAAATGGTTCTTTTGTCATTAGGGTTGTATAAAATACCATTGTGATAGTTAATGAAATTTTATTTTTATAAATAAATTAATAGAGCAGCTCAGACTTACACAGTGGATGGTCTTCGGCCTTAAATGAATGTGACACTCGAAAGCATATTTCTTTGAATCCGTCCCATCCCTGCTGTATTATATCCAGGGATATGCTAGAACCTGGGGTTAGTGGAAACAGGTCATTTTTGGCTCCTGGGGTTCAAATGTCTTTTTTCTTTCTCTCAGCTATGTTAGTGTATGTTTAAATAGTGGATGTGTTCCACAGCTTAGAATTAGGCTTTAGTAAAGAAGCTATAAACTAATTCAGGACTTGTTCTTTCACACTAACAATGGGCTTCTGTTACTTTATAACAAAAAGGGTAACTTCCCTTAAAATACTTCGTTCATTTCTAAAAGTTTTCTTTTGGGGGAACTTAAGGAATCAGACTTTGTTGTCTCTTCTGCTAGGTGTACATTTATAACACTATGAAGTTTAGACTCTAGGTGCATTCGATCTAGGGGAAATCGATAAGTAAAGGTTTATAAACAATTTCTGGGCGTGCCTGGGTAGCTGCGTTGGCTATGTGTCCAACTCTCGATTTCGGCTCAGGTCATGATCTCAGGGTTGTAAGATCAAGCCCTGTATTGGGTTCTTCACTGGGTGTGGAGCCTGCTTAAGATTCTCTCTCCTTCTCCGCACCCCGCCCCTCTCTAAAAAAAAATAAATAAACTTCAATTTCTGGATAAAATTGAGAAAAGTATATTTGGAAAAATTGAGTCAAATGTGAAATAGCCAATCTAAATCTTCATGTTGAAACATTGAGGCTTAAAGTATAAATCCATCTCAAATGGTACCTGATAAAAGATGTCTCAGCCTTGAATCTCAAAGACTGGGAAGGATCTGGTAGCCACGTTATGTAACCTGCCACTAAATGCAGGAATCTGCATGACTTTTTTTTTTTTACATTTTTTTATTATGTTAATTACCATACATTACATCAGTAGTTTTTGATGTAGTGTTCCATGATTCATTGTTTGCGTATAACACCCAGTGCTCCATTCCGTACGTGCCCTCTTGAATACCCATCACCAGGCTAACCCAGCCCTCCACCTCTCTCCACTCTAGAACCCTCACTTTGTTTCTCAGGGTCCATAGTCTCTCAGGTTCGTCTACCCCTCCGATTTCCCCCCCTTCATTTTTCCCTTCCTACTATCTTTTTCTTTTTTTAACATATAATGTATTATTTGTTTCAGGGGTACAGGTCTGTGATTGATCGGTCTTACACAATTCACAGCACTCACCATAGCACATACCCTCCCCAATGTCTATCACCCAGCAACACCATCCCTCCCACCCCTACCACTCCAGCAACCCTCAGTTTGTTTCCTGAGATTAAGAATTCCTCATATCAGTGAGGTCATATGATACATGTCTTTCTCTGATTGACTTACTTCGCTCAGCATAATACCCTCCAGTTCCATCCACGTCATTGCAAATGGCAAGATTTCATTCCTTTTGATGGCTGCATAATATTTCATTGTATATATATATACCACATCTTCTTTATCCATTCATCTGTCTGCCTGACTTCTGACAGAATCTTATTACTAATAGCAGAGAACACTGCTTTGGAAGGGAGTGGAATAAATATCAGACATAAATGCTGAGAAAGTTCTTAGGTTGGGCTGGAATTTGGTCAAATTTGGTGATTTGGAGCTAAAAAGCAACCACTGGTAATATTTTTTATAAAACATTTTTCCATGAGAAAATGTTCTGTTTGGGCTATGTTAACATGGGAAGATTGGATAAAGTAAAAGTGGGTTGAATGCTTAAGATACTTGAAAAATTTTAAAAATAAAAGCTGAATTTAAGTATTAGCCCTTCACTTAAAAAGTCTGATTGTAACCAGGGGTGGAGATGGGGAAGGACAAAGGGGAAGATACCAGAGTAAGGGTTGCTGGACAGAGTCCTGTGAAAATGTCTGCTATACTTTAGCATTTAGTGAAAGAGCTGTTACAATTATTGGTAGATTTCAAAGACTAACCAAAAGTCCATAGAACAGAGTCCTTGAGAAGTATTTGAAAATGTGGCCATCGGGAAACAAAACAACCTTAATTCTAATCTCCATTTTTATCTTTATCATGCAGTATGATCTCTTTGAGATTAGTATCCATTAATAAATAGAAGGATCTGTGATGATGTTATCCCATTAATATAAATACCATAAAGACTGGGAACCAGTATAGCATTGTAATTAATGCTAATTGTAATCATACTAATGATAGAAGACCCAGCTTCAAGCCTTGGATTACCATGGGTAGCTAACCTTGCTAAACATGTATCCTCCTTTGTGTGAATGGAATAATACTTAATGTACATGTTTTTTTTCTAATGCATGTAAAGCGCTAAGGATGGTTTCTGATACATACCAAGTGTGCAATAAAAGTTAGCTGCTTCTATGGTTAGCTTTCTGGGAAAAGGAACTGTTATCTTTTCATCTATCCCTATCAACTTGACACAAAGCAGGACTATGAGCTGGTCAGGGCTGGTAGGACAGGCTCAATTTGATCCACGTCCTAGGTGCTTCTTTCAGCTCTCCTTAGTGTGTGGTTTTCATTCTTGAGACGGCTGCTGCAGCTCCAGCCTATTTTCTTTGTTACCCTGCAGGAAGAAGGGTTGGCCAAAGAGCACACACTAAATAAGTGAGCTCTTTTTAAAGAGCCTTAGAAGCTCCAAACAGACGTCAGCTTAGATGTCTTTGGCCAGAACTTTGTCGCATGATCATGCCTGGGTTCAGAGTGGCCAGGAAATGTCTTAGCTGGGCAGATTGCCAAGTACAATTGGCATTCTATATAATAAGAAGGGGAGACTGAGTATTGAGTTGGCAACTAACAGTCTTTCTCCCAGGCTTTTTTTTCTTACAGTGGTGTGAATCTTACTTATTTTTTAAGATTTTATTTATTTGAGAGAGAGAGAGCACAAACGGGGAGAGGGAGAAGCAGACTCCATGATGAGCAGAGAGCCCAACGGGGGCTCAATCCCAGGACCCTGGGATCATGACCTGAGCTGAAGGCAGACGCTTAACCCACTGAGCCACCTGGGTGCCACTGTAAACAGTGTGGAGATTCCTCAAAAATTTAAAAATAGAGCTACCCTATGACCCAGCAATTGCACTACTGGGTATTTACCCCAAAGACACAGATGTAGTGAAAAGAAGGGCCATATGCACCCCAATGTTCCTAGCAGCAATGTCCGCAATAGCCAAACTGTGGAAAGAGCCGAGATGCCCTTCAACAGATGAATGGAGAGAGAAGATGTGGTCCATATATACAATGGAATATTACTCAGCCATCAGAAAGGATGAATACCCAACTTTTACATCAACATGGATGGGACTGGAGGAGATTATGCTAAGCGAAATAAGGCAAGCAGAGAAAGTCAATTATCATATGGTTTCACTTATTTGTGGAACATAAGGAATAGCATGGAGGACATTAGGAGAAGGAAGGGAAAAATGGGCGGGGGAAATCGGAGGGAGAGATGAACCATGAGAGACTATGGACTCTGAGAAACAAACAGGGTTTTAGAGGGGAGCGGGGTGGGGGGATGGGTTAGCCTGGTGATGGGTATTAAGGAGGGCATGTACTGCATGGAGCACTGGGTGTTATAGCAAACAATGAATCATGGAACACTACATCAAAAACTAAAGATGTATGGTGACTAACATAACATAATAAAATTAAATTAAAAAAATAAAACTATTTCTCACCTTTCTCAAATTGAAGACTGCAAAAAATAAAAGCAGTGCTTTACTGGGTTGTCATTAACCCTAGGAGCAGCGCTGCGGCCTCTCCCATGCTCTGCGACCCCTGTGCCCAGGAAACCTCAGCTCACACAGGCCAAAGCTCTCCCACCTCACTTTACACAACAGGCCTGGAAGCTTAATCAGATAAGGCTATTGTACACGACATTTACATTAGAAAAAGCGGGATGGAGGCGCCTGGGTGGCTCAGTCTTTGGGCGTCTGCCTTCCGCTGGGGTCGTGATCCTGGGGTCCTGGGATCAAGCCCCGCGCCGGGCTCCCTTCTCAGCGGAAAGCCTGCTTCTCCCTCTCCCACTCCCCACCCTGCTTGTGTAGCGGGAGGTAGGAAAGCCAGGTGTGTTGTTCCCTTTAAGTAAAGTTTGCTCCACTGTCGGGACATCTTCACTTCCTCAAGGAAAAACAGCAGATGAACCCAAATGGGAACAAGGTGATGGTCAAGAAGATGCCCAGGGAGGTGAAGATGTCCTCCGAAACCCGACTCTGCAGACCGGGCAGCCTCCAACGACAACAATGAAATTGGCAGGATACCTGGTGGTATTTCGACTGTGGATGTTGTAGACCCTGGGGTGGTGGGTGGGTGTCCCCGTGACCGGGTGAATGTGGGGCGGCGGCAGGCTGCTGGCGAAGTCGCCCTGGCAGGCGTCCAGGTTGTAGGCGCGCGGCCGCTCCTGCCAGCAGGTGCTTGCAGTCCTTGGCCTGCGGCGCCCAGCCCGGCTCCCACCCGGACTCCCGCTCCCGCGCCGGCTCGGACTAGCGGGGTCGCCGCTTCCAATCTGGGTTTTTTTTTTTTTTTTTTAAATAAAGTCAACACCGAAGGAGACGACCTGGAAGCATTTCGGTTCCTAGCTCTAATTTCTGATGCCCACAACCATATCCATGCCTGTTCTTAGGCTTGGTTGCATTCCATCGGCAAATAACCTCCCCATTTTGCTTAAATTAGTTCTGGTAGGTTTCTCAGCCGGGAACCAACCAAAGCAGGGTTTCCTGACTTTCCCACTTATTGTATCATCTAATGGAACCACAACTCTACCATTTACCCTAAACAGTACTTAGATGATTAATAAATGGTGGCCATTAC